CTTGAGGGAATCCAGTCTAACTTAATCCTTTTGTAGTTGGTTGAATACATTTTGATATTACGCATTCAAGTGAACCTTTTTAACTCTTATACCACAAGTAGGAAACTTTCTTACGTGATTTACACATTATTGGAAGACTAGCTGTATGCGAAACTTTGTGTTTGGACGCATACTCATTGATTGTTGTATCGTATTGTTATATAAAAGATCAGAAATTTTTTGGAAGCAGATCTGGCCGTATTTAGAATGGTAAGGAAAACTGAGGATGACCTTTGAGAAGTAAGAGAAGTAATGATTAAAATAAGCTAAAAAAGAAAAAAAGGAAATAGGTTATGCTTCGTTCATCAGGTTCCTTGTGCATAAGATTTGTACATGTGCTAAATGGTTATCTTCTGGAATATGTGCTTGTAACAGTACATATTTCTGATTTACCGGTTATTCTTGTGGAGATCCTCTTAGGTTAGTTTAACTAGACATATTACCAACAATATGGTAATAGCATTTTTTGGGGCTGATGTTATGCATTATTGTTATCTGAACTTATTCTTTGGGAAATATCTAGGTATCATGTATATAGTGCTGTTAGTTTATCAATAGAGAGGTAAAAATCTGATTGTTCATTTGCAATAGTATATTATTTCTAAGTACAAGCGACAGACCATGCATGGATAGCAGTCTTCTTTTTGCCTATGTAGTGACTTGAAAGAAATGAATATAATGCAAAGGGGGCGTTTGTGAACTTTGATTGGTTTCACCAGTTTAGATGGTCTTCACTTTCACATTGTGAGGCAAATAGCTCATTCTCTTTGCACAGTTTAATCCTACAGAGGCATCGTTTCCTTCATGATTTATGAAGCATAAACTCCTAAAATCAAAGAGAGCTAGTACCTCCTGTATTCACACCTCGTACAATAAGTTGCTTTCTGTGTTTTAATATATGAACAACCAAAAGCATAAAAATTAAACAATAATTACTGTGGGAGTCCAATTTAATTGTTCAATAAGTTTAGCTATTTAAAGAAGAAGAAAGAAAATTAAAAAAAAAACTGTTTTAGAGAGCTCTTTAGTTGAGCTTATGCAGTGTTGTATTTGTATAGATTGGACTGTGATTTCTAACTTCTTGCTGGTGTTGTAATATGTGGGCCCAAATTATATGAGGTTCTTAATGAATTGTAATTTTTGTCTTAATAATCTAAGTCTCATTACTTGTTCTTTATTATTGTACTCCTCCCCTTACCTACTTCTTTTACTCTTTTATGACAGATAAATGCTATTTATACTAGCTTTTGGAAGATATCTATGGTTATGGTTGAAGAATGTTGAAGACAAAATTGCCTTTTGCTCATGGAGTGGTTCATTTAGATGTTCTTCAATTTCTTAAATTGTGATTGCTTTTGTAAATGTACCTTATGTACAAGTGATATTTTGAACAAATGTTATTTTTGTAGGCATTAGTTGGATAATGTACACTTGAATTTGGCATTTGAGAATGCTATATTATTACCATGTAATCTAATGCAAATATTTTTGGTTATCAATCGTTCATGTTTATTTGTATGATTTGTTTAAAATCAATGATTTAGCAATGATTACAAGCCAAATTATGACTATTAAGCTATTGAGAAATTATCTAATGACAAAAAAAAGTTGTCACAAAATAGAAAATAAAAACTCCTTGTGACAACAGAGACTGTCACTAAATCTAAGCTACATTTATGACGACAATTGTTGTCAGTAAAATAGTTATATACAATGGCTTTCGGTGCTTTTTAGTGACGACCTTAAGTAGAACATTTTTGACAAAAGGTCAATTCGTCAATAAAACACTTCCGGATTGTTGTCACTAATGACAACTATTTAGTGACGACATTTCAGGTCGTCACTAAATAGTTGTCATTAGTGACGACAATCTGGAAGTGTTTTATTGACGACTTGATCTTTTGTCAAAATTGCTCTACTTAAAGTTGTCGTCACTAATGACAACTATTTAGTGACGACCTTGTGACGATCAAAAAGTCGTCAATAAAAGGTATTTGTGACGATATTTGTATGTTCTGTGATGACTTTGTGTTGTCACTGATGAACAATTTTCTTGTAGTGAAGATTCACTACAAATTCTTTTAGATAGCATAAAAAAGTAAATTTTTTGTATTTGAAACTATATAAACAGTATAATACAGGAACGAGATCATAACATGGAAAGCAAATAGAGTACAAATGACATCTTAGTACTATGTAGCATGATTAATTTTCTTTTTTAGTTTCAATGAAGTACAAAATTCTAAGTTAATAAATTTTACAATCATAAAATTTTCAATTAAAATAAACACAAGCTGAATTCCAAATCATATTACATGAAAAAATAACTACTTGAACCATAACTGCTGGAATGTAGTCAACAAATCCTTGGAGTCAAGAACAATAGGAGAAAGTTCATGAGAATTAAGGTTATTTGACTTAAATAAAGAGATAATACCTTGGCCGAGAAGGAGAAGATGATAAAATTGCTTTTCTGATTATTTTAGAAAGTGACAACATTATCTCAAATTGTACTTTGATCAGAGACAGAATCTCTGAGATCTACTAAGGAAAACAATACAATTAGTCAGTTTTTGGAATTAAAAGTATCAAAAGGCAAACTATATGCAGTTCTTGAATAAACCAATCATCAGAAAAAAAAAACTACAATCGAAGAAAACAAACCCAAAGAACTCACCTCAATTTAAAGGAAAAGCTATGCATTCCACCAAATATTTAATAGCCATAATAAAACCAAAGAGGTGAAACCGAAAAAGAAGAAAGGGTATCGGCTAAACATGAGGACATAAATATGATAATGATTGTTTAGATAATAATTAAGTTAATTAATTATAATTAAAATCCAATTATGTAAACATCCAATTAATTTCTTAACGGATGAAAAAGGTTTCAGGAAATTGGAAGGCTTGGATGTTAGTATAATAAATTAATAAAGGACTTTTATGTAATTCTATCAAAACACAAGTTTTATTCAGTTGTACTTGATACTCAATTTAGCACCAAACATTGTAACATACCAAACCTGCCCCTAATATTAAATGTTTGAAAGGTTATATAAGTAATTATAGTGAAATTAAAGCTATAATGACTTGTACTCAATGTTCCAATTACTTTTTAAACACTCTCACATTCCCAAAATAGTCTCATCTCTGCGGTTGAAATATAATCCTAAACTCGTTCTTATATAGTATAAGGATTTTTTTCGGTAGGAGGTCAAAATCTGATTATGGTGGTATCCGAATATGGAAATTAGTTGGTTAACGACGTCGTACATTTGATTGGTGGTTGGTAGTTTAAGTTTGCGCCATAATGCTTTTTCGTTGAGACACATCTCGCAATTTGTTTACGTTACTTTATTCTGTGATAGGTTATTATTTTTTTTTTTGTCGAAACGATAGATGTCCTATAACCTAATCTAGCCTAGTCTAAGGGGAAGGGGAGGGGGATCGATGTGAGTACAGACTCCATCGATGTGAGTACAGACTCCTGTGATAGGTTATATGGGTAGGCCTAAAGTAAATTGGCCTTTGCCCCCTAGATTTTTATTTAATTAAAATTTGGCCATTCTCGAGTTCAATTTTGGATATTTTTCCTCTCTGATTCTCTCATTGTTTCAACCAGATACTCATGGTTTTTATCATCTGAAAATGGCTATTGATACTAGTTGTTTAGCATAAACAAGCTTGACTAACATTACTAGTATTCAAATCCATTATTGTACATGCTTCATTTCTTGAAATGCAAAACAACTCGGACGAATAGAAAAATAGAAGTTGAAATAGTACTCTAAAATTGTTATTTTGTTTTGGCTCCAAAATTTTCTCTTCTTAATAAACTATCTTGTTAATAATATTCATGATATTTGTAATGATGCCATGAATAAAATTGTGATTTGATGTCCAAAAAGGTTATAGATACTCTTATCTCACCATTCTTATATTTGTTTATTCTACAATATGTGTATATACAAACATGCACATGTTCGTGTTGATACACACATGCATTTTATCTTGTCACCTTAAACTAAGATTTAAGTAATGAAACTAACCATGAAATTATAAAAATCATTACAGTTTCAAAATTTAAAAAAAAAAGTAGTTCTACTAGTAATTTTGAGGACAGGAAAATAGAATAAATTACTTGATACTCGAATCCAACTTAGTCCTATAAGAGCTCGTTCAAGGCTAATATATCAAGTAATTAATCTAGGCACGAACATGATTATATGTTTATAACTTTGTGTAATATATCAAGATTTTCAAGCTCTATGAACTCAAACATAATAAAAATATTTTTCACATTCGCTGTAAAGAATAATAAGTTTAACTTTAAATCGATTTCTAAAATTGTTGCATTAATAATCAAACAAACTTAAATAGTAGAGTGTTCTATTGGACTACAAACATACACTATTTCACAATCCGAGAACATTGGCTTTCAACGCCTTTTAACAAGTCATAATAGGCAAAGATTGAAACTTTAGCTAAATTATGTAGAGAAAATTCACCAAATATATGAACATAGATGGCCAAATCGATATCATGTAAACCCTCAATGACTTCGAGCTAAAATTGTCCAAAAGAAGTCTCACTTTTCTTTTTTTTTTGAAGGATGTCCAAATGAAGTCTAAGCCAAAGAAGCAGTGTGGAACTAAACAACTACTACTAGATTTTCTTGATTTAGCCGTCCCTTGTCGTCGAGTTTATTCTAGCGTCAAAATATGAACCGCCTCTCCTTTGAAAAAAAAACGGTGGCTACAGATGCTTCTCCTTTTCCTCAATCCTCACCCACCCACTTCACCTATAAATAGAAAAGCCCAGTAAATATCTTAGTACTGTACTCCACTCATTAATTAAGGAATATAAAAAATTACAGCCTTTTAAGCATAAAGAAACAGATTTCCTTGCCGTTTGTTTTATATACACACACACACACATATATCTCTCTCTCTCTCGTGTGCCGCTTCTTCTGAGTTCTGAGGTAAGCTTTATGCGAAATCTTCAAGATCTGCCCCTCGTTTGTTTGAGGAATATTTATATGTATTACATCTGATGCATGCACGTTGCGTTCCTTCATTGAAATGTTAAGATCTAATTCCTTTAAGGTTTCATGAGTTGCTCAATCCTGCTTGATTAATCAGCGTTGTTCCTCGTATTGAAACTTTTGCTTTATGGCATTCGTGAAGTGTATTAGTAGTAGTTATACTCTCAATTTATTTTTTTTTTTAAAAAAGAATGGCATTTAATGGTTAGCCTGCTGATCAGTTTGTAATCTACACGACAGCAGAAGAACGGAATGAAAAGTGGTTAATCACATACTTTGTTCATATTTTTTGATTGCTCGTATTTAAATTGAAGAGTGTATAGTAGGAATACAAATTGTATTCTTATAAGGTCGTCTTTGCGATATGCATCTTGCATTGGAATTTTTGAGTCACTCAATTGCATGAAAACATAGTTCAAATGAACATGCTTAACTTCAGAGATATGCTGAGATGCTTTGTTTCCTTGTGTTGGTGTAATGTGACGAGGAATTCTTTTATAGTTTCGTACGCTTGTGGACATCAATCTTTTCTTAAGGGTTGTCAAAGGGTTGGAAGTCAGGCAGGTGTCAACTGTTTGAAAGGGGGAAACTGGTCGGGAGCCTTACTAATGAAGAGCGTTAGTCATTAAAGACATGTTTCATTTAGCTTATAACTTGAAAGAGCAATCGTTGAATTGGGAATTTGATTGTTTCGTTTCTCTTGGTCTTAAGGGATGAAACTGGTACTTTTGCTTTTCAAATAAACTTGTTCCATTTCATTGGCAGTTTCACATCTGTATATTGCAAATGTGAAAATGGGAAAGCAATCTTTTATTTTAATGTTCTTTTATTTTTTTTTTCTTTTTTCCTGGCTAGGGGAGAGCATGAACTGTTTTGCAGTTTATACTCATAGGAGCTCATTTCTGGTGTTGCTTTTTGCTTTTGTATTCCTGATGCAAAGCATTAAAAGAGTGTACTGCTGAAGTTCGGTTATTCTTTGTAGAAAAATGTTTTATTTGATGTATTTGCTGTGCTTGACCTTTTCAATCAAAAGATTGAGCTCCGTTTATTGGTTATTGAGTAATTAAAAGTGATACTGAAGGCTGTAAGACATATCTAACTGTCTTAACTTGTTTGTTGCAGAAGGGCTAGAGGTAGGGGAGATTTTCTTGACAATTTTGGTATTGTTTTTCTCTTAAAGAAAAAAATGAACGTCTCTATGTGCTCAATGTCATCTGAGATAGCATTTTCTTCATGCGAGAGTCTCCAAGGCCGAAATCTTTATTTGATGCCTTTAAAATCTTTTGGCAAAGATAATGCTCGGATGCAAAAACGTGTTGTGGGGAATGTTCTTGTTTCCAGCCATTTGATACCTCATCATTTGGAGGAATCCTTTCCAAGAAAGGCACAGCTAGAGGGAAAAAATCGGAAGTTACAGTTCATCCGGACGTTGTTGATTGACAACTATGATAGTTATACCTACAATATATTCCAGGAACTGTCCATTGTCAATGGTGGTATGCTGTTATTCTCTTGCTGTCTTCTGTGCCCCATACCAATAAGTTTGTTAAGTTACTTGATATGCTTAGATTTTGTAGTTTCTGTTTGTGAATAGTGGTTTCCTGTATAGCTGCACATGAAGATAGTTAAACATTAATCTGCTAAACTGAATGCGGTCGAAAGCTGATTCTTGTGTATTGGCATGCTTATAAGGTTGTGGTTAGATGCTCTGCTCAGTCCAGGTGATTGACTTTTGTGAATATACCACCTTATAATCTGAAGTTTAGCTATATGATACAATGGGATAAAAATGCGAAGAGAAAAGTCTTGTTTGCAGGTTTTCCAAGCTCAAATATGCATGTTTTTTATTATTCCTTTCCCATAGGCAGATAACCTCCCCAATCATGTTTCTTCTACAGAATCTAATACAGATGTATGAGTGGACCTCTTGAGGGAAAAGAGTTGCCTTTTGATATCATCAGCCTCAGTGACTTATTCTCCTAACACTGATATTAGTTTTACATTTACCATTTTCGCCACATCCAGTAAGGATCTGGTTAATAGCAACTTTCAGAGACATTAGAAAGTGATTTTAGAAATAAAAAACAATTATGGTGATACATCTAGGACAGTCTTGTGTATGAAGCCCAGTGTACCTGCGAAAGATGGAAGGTGTGCCTGCATTGCCACTCATAATTTCTATCATGAGAAATGGATCATGTGAAGTCCCTTTCATGGTTGTATATGTCTTTAAACTGCTTTGCAAACCTGATTTACTTTTTTATGGTTAGCCTCCAGCACAGTTTATGTCTTTCTCCAGTTGTCTCAGTAAAAGCTGGTAAAAGCAAACATATTGTTGGATCTTGCTGCAACTTCTTGTTGTGTATGGCAATCACATCTTGTTGTTATGCACTTTTTATTTTAGCTAGTGGGTTCAATATTTTAGGCATACACTGAACATTTCATTTTGGCCCCTGAACTCCACAGTTCCTCCAGTGGTGATTCGGAATGATGAGTGGTCATGGGAAGATGCATATCGTGTTTTATATCAAGAAAAGGCATTTCATAATATTGTCATATCACCTGGCCCCGGCACACCGACATGCTCTGCAGACATAGGTAAGATACCAACACTATGACCTACCCCTCTGTACTTTTAGACTTTAAAGAAGCATGCCTACTGTCTGGATTAACATATTCTTACAAAATTAACATAGTTTGCATTCACTGAGGACGAAATGCATTGCCTTTATTTTTTTGGGGCTTTGTGATTGTCCAGAATACGTTGGTATTGCTTGGTTAGTCAGATTCATCTTGGCATTTTATGGATTTTGCTTATGTGTAAGAAAAAGAGAGAATTCTATTATCATAACGCTGTTGGTGTCAAAACTTTAACATCACATGTTAGGTCCATTGAGTTAATCCTGATATGCAAGTTGCTGCTACAGGAGATTTGACCTTTACATGTATGTTTCTTTTCTTCTCTATAATATAATGTGGTAGGATCATCTATGAGCATGCTCATTCATTTTCTTGCAATAACCAGGAATATGTCTTAGAGTGCTACTGGAGTGCAGAGACATCCCTATTTTAGGTGTCTGTCTTGGTCATCAGGTATTCGTCTTCATTGTGAACTTATCTAGTTAGTCTTCTAAATTCTTTTGTTCTTTCTTTATCATCTAGCTGGATTTTCCGCCCATCCACCATTATGCTTGTCCTTAGTTGAGAGTTGAGGTTCAACTGTTTTTGTCAAATATTTCTCCTTTCAAAAAAATTTGTTATAAGCATTTAATTTACATTATTACATGCAAAGTCGTCATATTGTGGTATGTTGATTGCATCGTGCTTCATCATAGGTAACAGACGGTGCAAAGTTTGGATTTGAATTAGAGTGAGTTGATTAAAATGGAGTAGAAAATAATAAACCTGTTTGTAGGGTGAACTTGTGATATTGCAGTCTATTTGTTCAACAGGCTTTAGGATATGTGCATGGAGCTAAAGTTGTTCGTGCATCTGTGCCTGTTCATGGACGTCTAAGGTATTGATACTTTGAAGATTTCATGCTTGATTAGGAATTTTCTGTGTTCAACTTCATAAAGAAACATGCTCCGCTACTGTAGACAGGGGAACAAATCAATTTTTTAGGCTTAGAATATTATGCAGGATCTTTCTTTTGAATTTATTCAATCTTTTTTCATTTATAATTTGTAACACGCTGAGCATCTAAGTGTATGGCATTTTCTTTTTGTAGTTATACTGTCTGTTGATTAATGCATAGCATTACAACTTTTATTATTGTTGATCTCTTTTACAGTGACGTTGAGCATAACTGTTGTAGACTGTTCCATGATATCCCTTCTGGAAGAAATTCAGGATTTAAGGTCAGCAAGACAGCACATGTGAATTTGCGTATTTGAATTTCTTGGACAAAATGTGAAGCATAATAACTTCAGCTTTAGGCATTTGTTCTTTTCTTAGGTTTAGCTTGCATCTAAATCACTAGGAGTCATGCTATGGATCAAGACATTTACTCTAAAAGACAAGAGCGCTACTTAATTTGTTTCAATGACCATGCTCATTAGTTTTGAAGTCACGTAGTTCTCTTTTTGTGTACATGTAACTAACCTTAGAAGATTGCCATTTATTTTGAACTTTCTCCACTGTTTTGCTTATGATGGCATGAGTACTTGAAAATTCTTCCCAGTGATTCTATAGAGAGTTAATAACTATTGCAAGTCCCTACATGCATTGGTAAATTCATTTTTACACCATTTTTTTCCTCCAGATGCTCTGTATGTTGAAGAAAAAAAAACCTGAAAAAAATGTTATTCTGTGCTCTTTATGTAAGGTATGCATGATATGTTATACTAATCTTCTCATTTTGCAAGCTGTGATCATGGTTTTCAAGATGTATTCTTCAAAACCTAGTCAAATTGTGTATCTCAGCTGTCTTGGTTTGTTTAGTTTTACTTCTTGCTCGTTCAATTTGTGAACTTTTTTTTTAAAATTATTTTCAACTTGCTTATTTGGTAGAGCAGTTGAGTTTCGTTATAGTATGTTTTAAGGGATAGTATGTGGTTTTAACACAGTAGAGGAAAATTTTAAATGTCAATCATGTATTTTAATACGATATGATTCTAAACTGCTGTTGCTTTTTCTTGTAGGTTGTTAGGTATCATTCTCTTGTTATTGATCCACAATCCCTTCCAATGGAACTTATACCAATAGCATGGACTTCTTCTCCTGAAGTAGTTCCTTTTCTTGGTATCCAAGGATATGATTCTGTCTCTGACGCTCATGATAGACAAGGTGACCAACAAATGTTCGTTGACTGCATAGCGACAAAGTTGAATGAAAGAAAATCATGGCCTTCTTGTCACCCTCAAGAAACAAAGAGTGAAAAAGTCCTCATGGGCATCATGCACTCGACTAGGCCTCATTATGGTTTGCAGGTAGGTGTTTGGTGATTGCTATCATACACAAACTGGCCTAGTTTTCCAGATCTATAATCATGTTCTTGCTCTCCAGTTTCATCCAGAGAGTGTTGCAACTGGTCATGGGAGGCAAATATTCAAGAACTTTGCTGACATAACAAAGGATTATTGGTTCAGGTTCAGATCATCTTCCAGTCCTGAGGGACAGGTTTATGCTGGTAAAGTACCTCCAAAAGTAGAATAATTTCATTTGCATTTTCATTTTCTGTTCTTTTTCTTTTTTGAATTATGATAATTGGAGGAGATGTTTGTTTACACTATGCTGTGATTCCTGTAGTGCTAAGGATTTTGTTAAGCAACAATCAGCTCTACTGGATTTTGATGAAGTCAAATCCATGATGGATCAAGAAAAGTATTGATGCAAAAATAATTTACTGGAAAAAAAAATTCTAGTATCTGATGTGACAACACAGATATTTTGCTTTGAGTTCAATGACGTTCAGGCTTAATGTTGCATCATAAAAAATGTGATAAAGCTGCTCAAATTGTTTCTTTGGGATTCAATAAAACTTAAGAGCTGACAAAAAAATTTATTTTAGTAGTTTCCAGACACACATGGTATGATGAAGAGGTAGTATGGTGGTGGATATATTATTGGTTTTTCATCTTTTTTTCTAATTCTAATATGATTTGGAGCTTAGAATTTCATTAGTCCTGAAGTTTGCTAGGGTCAATAAATTTAGTGGCTAATTAGATAGACAAACTTCTGGTTTATTTTTAAGATTGAATTATTGCACATGGAACTATAATTTTTTAACCTTACCATTTGTGAATGTAAGCCTCTTTTTTATCTGTTTCCAACTTGTTCAAAAGCTTTTGTTCTCATTCCCTGCAATTACAAAACTCAAATGAATTTTAACTTGAATGTCTTTCCTTGAAGCCACTAACCATTTTAGAGAATTACCATGATTGTCTAATTTATTTAATTCATTTATTCTCTGTAGTTGGGATCTGTATCAGCACTACGAAATGTAGCTATATTACATACAGTATTGTAAAGTCATTTCCTCCTCCTCTTTCCTTCTTTGGGAACCATTTGGAGCCCATCTGAAGTTGTGCTTTTAACTATTTAGCAAGTCCTAGATGGAAGTCCATTATTCCCCATTCTTTGCTCCTATCATGGAAATTTCAGATAGTTATATTCCTAATATAGGATTTACGAAAGAATTTAAATTTAGAAGCCCACCAGGCGAAGGATCAGTTCTATTGGTTCATGGGTCATTTGTGGTCTCTGTTCCTTTATTATTATTTTTTTTTTAACCTCACTGTGTTTCTTCTTCTTCTTTTTCTTCTCATTGGTTTTCATCCATGTCTGTAGCTTGGTTAGCTTGACTGTTCAATATGTTCTGGATGTTTTGAGAGTTGGAATTTCTTCTTTTCTGGTTGATTGACTTGATTATGTCATGGCCTCATATTCAGTCTGAACAGTAAACTTTACTTAGCATGCATGCAGGTGCCTGATGTTAGCCATCTCTTTCAAGATGTTATGAGAGGACATTTGGTGAAAAAAATGGATGAGGCTAAACATTTTAATTTTTACAACATGCCAAAGCTAAAGTATTTAAGCAATGATGTGAAATTTCTGAAGTTGAGATGGAGAAAATTGGCATCCCCAGCAGGCCGACTCGGTGGAGCTAGAGATATTTTCTGCAAACTTTTTGGAGATTTTAAAGCTGAGAACACCTTCTGGCTGGACAGTTCGTCTGTGGAAAAGGTCTTCTTTTTTCCTGCAGAAAGTCTTGCTCGCTATACATGTTTAGAGAGTTAATTTTATTTTCAGACGTTCTTCCTCTTAGTTACTGTGCATAGTCCTTTCCCATTATCTAAATGAGCAAAACATAAATACTTACAAGTACTTGTGGAAGGCATGACTAGTAGGTTTAGTTTGTCATGGATCTGCTCTTTTATCACCATACCCATGGCTTCTGAGAGGCAAATGGTTTAGTTTTGGTGTTATCACAGGGTATATATAGTCAAAATTGTTTTCAACTTGGTGATTGATTTTATAGAAAATTCTGAGATGACAGATTTTTTATGTTCTGAATTTTTTACTTAATATGTGAATGTTTTTGTATCCCTTGTTAATCAATAATGTTCATTATCTGTTGTTGAATGCTAACTCCAAAATCATGCTTCGTTTTGGTGATGTTTATTATTAGTATTAAATGCTTACGAACTCCTTACAATGGAATTACAGATAAACAGTGCTTTGTTTTTTCTGGTTTTTGTTATAAACCACTTTGCTAGTGATTCTAACAGCATAAGATATGCCTCTTGATTCTTAAAACTGTCTCTGGCTGCTTTAACACCATTTACACTCTTCTGATGTAATGAGTTACTCTTTTATAATAGATTATATATGTTTACCTAGTTGCATAAAGTGACAGAGGTTTGAGATTGACACTAGGGTAAGTTGTTGCTTTGAATTGAAAATGTCTCCTGCATGTTGATTGCAAATTTCAAACTTTTTTGCCTTACGGCCCTATGAGACTACCTACCCTTTGCTTCAAAGACTTAAGTAATGGTGTTATTTTGATATGATCACAGTTGGAGGTTCATGGTTGTCTTTAGTTTGACCTGTTGGGTTCTAAATCTTTTGTATCACTCAGGAAAGGGCTCGATTTTCATTTATGGGGGGAAAAGGTGGCACCTTGTGGAAGCAAGTTACCTTTAGACTGTCAAACGAAAGGTTTGAATAATATCAAATTTGTTCTGCGTAGTCTAATTTGGAATTGTCCTTTTATTTCTTTTTCTTTTCCAATTATCCTTTTTTACATTTGAGACTTCTTTTTCATTCCAGTGATGCAGAATTTAGAAGTGGAGGGTATCTATCAATTGAAGATGCCCAGGGCTTTACCCAAAGTATTATTTTAGAGGATGGCTTCTTTGATTTTTTGAACAAGGTATGTTATAAGTTTGCTTTATGAAGGTGTGCAGCACTTCAAAAAGCAGTAAATTATGCAACTTTTGGAATTCAATGCATGAATTGTTGAATTAGCAAATGTTCTGATGAAGAAATAGTCCAACAGCAGTAAATTTTTAGAGGTATGTGATGCTCTTTTTGAGGTGATCAGCCCTTGCTATGAATCCCAACTTTTCGGCTTCCTATCACTTCTGGCATGGGTGGTGGACCATTGAAATTGCCAATATGTGTGTCATGGATATCTTTCAGGGAAAACTATAATATGAAGTTTGATGCCTTTGTGTCTTTCTGTTTTGGGTCATAAACATAGTTTATTTGCTATCTGTTTTCTGTGCTTATAATGACCTTAAACCTCAGTATAGTGCAAGACATTTCACCTGCTTTTTTATCCCATCACATACTTTGGTCTATGAGGATATTTATGAAAATATTATCTCATGTTGATTGCTGATCAGATCATATTTCTGGTTGATAAGCTTAATAAGCTTACATTTCAGTCACTCATTTTCCCACATATTTGTGTTATGCCATTTAGAATGAGATTGTTAGATTACGCCTTTTCAATGTCCAGCTATTACTCTCTGTGCTTTTGATGTCCTACATTCTTTTGGGCATTCTCAAGCATGCATTTCCTAATTTTGTTGTGCAACTTAACAGAAGGTAGATGTGGATATTAATATCAAAATAATCTTTATTTAATAGATGTTTTTATCTGTGCATCAGGAGCTGCATTCCTTTCGTTATGACCAAAAGGACTTTGAAGGATTACCATTTGATTTTTATGGTGGCTATGTTGGCTATATTGGGTAAGTATCATATCATGTCAGATTGAAATGCTTCATAATATCTGTAAAAGGAGGAAGCCCATGTGTGAAATATTTTTTTTCTTAAGGTTGTAGAGCATAGGTTCCGTAGAAGATGAAAACTTCTATGACGTATAGTAATTTCTTTGACATAATTCAACTTATTATAAGCAAATTTCATAGTTTCCCCTCCTTGCTATTTGTCCACACAGTTTTTGCCCTTGCCATGAAATCCTTTGTTGTGCTACCCAGGATATTAATAAGCTCTGCAGGCTAATGTGATGATTTTAAAACTTTTCTCATGCTCAATTTCTATAAGGCTGTAAATTCTATGCCAACATCAAAGATTCACTTAATGCAGGTATGATCTTAAAGTTGAATGTGGCATGGCCTTGAACCGTCACAAATCAAGGGCCCCGGATGCTTGTTTTTTCTTTTCAGATAATTTTGTTGTGATAGACCATCACAAGGATGATATCTATATTTTGTCTATACATGAGCAAGGCACATCTGCTAGTACATGGTTGGATGATGCTGAGCAGAAGCTTCTTAGTATTGAAAATTCCACAACAAAAAGCTTGATGTTTCAAGTGTCTCAAGGTTCAATAGATGACCCATTGAAATTAGGTTTTTCTGCTGGAAAATCTAGAGAGCAATATATGAAAGACATCAACAATTGTCAGAAATTTATTAAAGATGGAGAAAGCTACGAGTTATGTCTCACGACTCAGTTGAAGAAGAAAATAGGGGAAATGGATCCATTGGGACTTTATCTTAATCTTAGAGAAAAAAATCCTGCGCCATATGCTGCGTGGCTCAATTTTTCAAAGCAAAACCTGTGCATCTGTTCTTCTTCTCCTGAGAGGTTCCTTCGATTGGACAGACATGGTATTTTGGAAGCAAAACCTATCAAGGGTACTATAGCTCGTGGATCTACCAAACAGGAAGATGAATTACTTAAATTGCAATTGCAATACAGGTAATTTATCTGGGTTATTTTTCAGCAACTTGGTTTTCTTCTTCCACTTCCTCATCTTTCTAGCTTATTTGGCTATTAGCTACTTGAACTTTTCAAATCTGAACTGCTTCTCTAGAAACTTCTAAAGCAATCATTTTCTTTCCGTTTCCTTTTTCTTTGTGTCATAATTGCTCTATGTGTTTATATTGGTTCTCATACTCATCTGAGTTTCTTGACACCATGGTTCTGGTACTAATTGTTGGCAATTTGTTCGGCTGCTTAATATGCAACTAATGTTAGCCCCATCCCCCAACCCTCCCGCACCCCACCCCCAAAAAAAAAAAAAAAAAAATCACAGTGAAAAGGATCAGGCTGAAAATCTGATGATTGTCGACCTTCTGAGGAATGATCTTGGACGTGTATGCGAACCTGGTTCAGTTCATGTTCCTCATCTTATGGAAGTGGAGTCATATGCAACAGTTCACACTATGGTGAGTACTATTCGGGGGAGGAAGCAAGCAAATGTATCTGCAATTGAATGCGTCAGAGCTGCATTCCCTGGCGGGTCAATGACAGGTGCACCAAAGCTGAGATCCATGGAAATTCTCGACACTCTAGAAAATTGTTCCAGAGGCATCTACTCTGGATGCATTGGGTTTTTCTCATTCAACCAAACGTTTGATCTTAACATCGTCATTAGAACAGTAGTGATACATGAGGATGAAGCTTCCATAGGAGCAGGAGGGGCCATTACAGCTCTTTCAAGTCCGGATGAAGAGTACAAAGAAATGATTCTGAAAACAAGAGCTCCCGCTAGTGCTGTTTTCGACTGCGAAAGCAAGTCACACTAAGTTTTATAGTACATAGTTCAGAAAAATATTTGAAAGGGCTGCTGATGTGCTAATCTGGATTGTTGGGATGAGGTAATTGTAGAATACCACAATAGTTTAGTCATTCTTTTAGGAGAGCTGGTAAGGAATATTTTGGCTCTTCACGCAAATCACACCTACAAATAGAATTTTTTTTGGAAACAATTGCTGGGAGTCGGGGCATGAAAATGTGGTTATGCAGAGCATCATTCCAGTGCTGATTCCCGACCTCCATGTGTCTGTAATATCAATCTCTAGAAATTTTGAAATTTAACAGGTGTGGAGTTAAGTGGACCTGCAAAAGGTAAACTTCCATGGCTTCATTGTTCACTTTGTCTCAGAAATGATTGTTATTGATACTAGGGATGATTTAGAGCTTTTATGCAAGTGATTGATGGCATTATCTCGGTAGGATTAAGTGTGGCAGACAGAGGTTAGTTAAACTGCTTATGTATCAGCAATTAGCATGTTGTATAATCCTCGTCTATGGTCCTGTGGGAATTTGATGAGACTCGTCCAAGGACATTGCAGTTCTACAAAATTAGTATGTTGCATGATCCTTCTTCAAGCCTGCTAGTTTTCACTACTACCAGTTACTAACTCAATAAGCTAAGAACTTTGAAGAAAACTAGACCTTTTTTCTGACGGCTATATACACTTCTCTGAAATGTCAATGCAAGAGGGTGCTTTAATCACGGAAGCACTAATCAATTTGCTGATTGCAATAGATCTTCTGTCTCACTTTTCATCTCACCTTTATCGTTGTATATTGATATATATCTCTTTCATAAATATTGAATTTTAATTCTTTTTTATTTTCTTAAAATCTAACAAATATTAATTGAGTGATACACAAAATTAAACAAACTCAAAATATCAAAATATGCCAAAAAAAAATTTATTTAATTAATAAAAAATGGAATAAAAGATCCGTTACGGTTACTAATGCTTTGGGGCTGTTATCGCTTTTTCTTTACAGGTAGTACCAACTAGTAATTCCCTCACAACTCACAAGCTCTCTTCCACAACCCAAAATAAATGAATACAAAATAGGAAGAAAAAAAAATTGCCAGTCAATTGGTAGTACCCACCCGCATAACTTTTCTTTTTCCATTTTCCTTTTTTCCTTCTTGTGGACCAGCGTAATATAGCACCAATGTCATTGTATAGTTCTATAATATAAGTATGGCAGGGGAGGAAGAGGGGGAGAGGGAAAAAAGGGGGAAAAAAAAGAAGACCGGCACCGGCACCGGAAATTGGCGCGGGAACTGGCGACGGAGCCGGCAATGGAGGTGGTGGTGGGAAAGGAAGAAGAAGAAAAGGGGAAGGGAATTTTTTTTTGTTGTGTTTTGGATATTTTAAGTGTGTAGGTTAAAAACTTTGGTAAGTTTTTGGGGGTTCCTGTAGTACAAGTTGTTAAAAAACTAATATAATAAAAACTTGGTAAAAAACAGGACTTCCAAACAGGTCCCATGTGGCAATTTGAAACCTGAATAAGAGATTGAGCGGGATTAGGGCTTCTACAATCCCAAACAATCTTAATTTTAATTGTAAGGTGCAACTATGGAAAAGGATTGTGTTTGATTCGAAATAAGGTGAACATGGTAATATATAATTTTTCAAAAAGTGTCGAAACTGATATATATTTTTATATAATTGTTATGTTAAATATTTATCCCTTTTTTTTAATCTTTCCTCCTCTCCTAATTCCTCCCTACTATGATGTACGCGAGCCGAGCCACTCGCGAGTAGCTCGATCAACGGTTTGACTCAAACTCGGTCAAACCGAGTTCGAGTAGCTTGATTGGCGTTCGAGTCGAGTTTCGAGTCTCAAATTTTTGGCTTGCGGCTTGTCGAATAGCTCGTCGAGCCGAGCTATTTAAATAATATATTTATAATTAAAATAATATATATGTATTATAATTATAAAATGATTATTATGGGTATAGGTTATACGAATTTACAATATACTTTTCTTTATAATAAAATTTTATAAGGGTAAACAAATAATAACATAATTATAAAAATACCTGAAAAGAAAAAAGTCTAAAAAATGCCTCATTTTTTTGGTCGAGTGGAGTCAAAAAACTTGATTAGACTCGGCTTGATAAGGCTTGACTAAGGGTCGAGCCTTATCGAATCGAATTTCGAGTTTAGAGTGAGTACATCGAGTCAAGTTTCGAGTATCAATTTTTTTGACTCGATCAAACTCGAACTCGGATATATGAGTCAAGTCGAGATCGAGTATAGCACTACTCGAGCTTGACTCGGCTCGATTACATCCCTACTTCCTACCCTTACACCTAACTGTTTGAATCCTAATTTGTCAGATGAAACATAAAACTCCTATTCAACGGCTCCAATAACGGTTGACTATTAATATTTATATTACACCATATAAATACAAATGTGACACTGATGATTATGTAAAATTGCGCTATATTTTTATAATATATCTGTTATGTTAATATTTATGCAGTAAATTTGTAGCATACGAGGGGATGATGGGGAAAGAAAGAGGTTAGTTTTTTTTTTTTTTTTAAATTCCTTTCAAATGGGAGGGAGTAGGTAGATGGTGCCGCGAAGAAGACTGCCCAAAATTCCCAATCTCAAATTGTGTTGTGGGGCCGCCCAATGGTTTAGCTATGGTGACCCCACCACATACCTTCCCTACCCAACTACACTCACCACCAACTCCCTCCTCCTCTTCTACTCGTTATTTTAACAACCAGCCTCCCACCGAACTTTTCTTATTCACGTTTAAATTTTCCAATCCAATAATCTTTCACTTCAATACCACCCTTGCAATTCGTATTTTCCATTTCGGGTCAAAGCCCATAACCGACCCCCGAAAATGGCTTCGTCTCTATCTACCAAACCTTTTCTCGGAGCTCCCTCATCTTCCGATGGATTCTCCGGTCTCGGATCGCTCCAGTCCGCATCTAAGCTTCTCCCTGCCTCCCTGCATCTTCCCGCTTGCCGTTCCCACCCCAGGCGCCTCCGTCAGTATTTTCTTTTTTTTTTTTAACTTCGTCCTTATCGTCTCCTCTCTTTTTTTTTTCCTCCTCAAAAATGTCATTTGCTGTATTATTTGATCTTATTTCACCTGAGAACTTGCTAGCATATTGATTTGGATTCGTGTTAATCGAGCTCAAGCACGTTAACAATTCTGAGAATTCGATTGAAAGTGAAAGCTTCAAGCTTTTAGCCTTGATTTGAATTGTTAAGGAGCCTTGGAAATCGTTTTTGAGCTTCGCTTCCTACTATAATTTTGTGCCTGAGCGGGAATGACCTTTTTGTTGAAGTCAAGCAGGAGCACCTTGATTTCCTCGTAACGTGTAAATTAGGCTTTTTGCCTGTTGAGCCGGGCTGGCGTTCAGCCTAGATTGTCAGTGAACTCTAAATTCTATTTGTTCAGGTTTGGTTTGATTAGTTGATGGACTAGTTTTGAAGTATCTCTTAATCAGCGAAGCTCAAGTTATGCTTCTACTTACACCAAGGATATTAGCTAAGAAGAATTTGGTTATATTCCTGTACTTTTTGCTTTCTATGACTGTGGTCTAGTAGCATGAATTTTAAGTGCAGTTGATTTGTAACAATATTGTGAATATCATTAGCATTTCTTCATCTGTTAGTGGACTATACTTGATGTGGTGATTTTGGTAACATCGCTGATTGGATATGTTGTGATGTGTGATATTATAATAAAGGTAATCGCAGCTTGTTGTCGAAACAGTTATGAGTTAGTTGATTTTCCATAACCTGTATGCTGTATTAGTAATTTGAGGGTAATGTTTGGTATTGCTTAGAAAGTTGGAAAATAAGTATGCCATCCAGAAAAGATTGATCTTAGAAGCCTTCAAAATTGATTTTGCCAATGCCGTGATCGGAAGCGGTATCTGGAGTGCACTGGTTTCTTTCTAACTTCCAGTGTTAATTAATAGGCCACTAGTTTTTGCTTAAGATTCCTAACCATTGTTGTACGCTTACAGAGATACAGGCTGCTGGTAATTCATTTGGCACTTACTTTCGTGTTACAACATTTGGAGAATCTCATGGTGGTGGTGTTGGATGCATTATTGATGGATGTCCTCCTCAGATTCCACTTTCGGAAACTGATATGCAAGTAGATCTTGATAGAAGGTACTAAAGTGATCATGCTTATGTCATCAGTTATAGTTTAATGCAAAAACGGTGTGCAACTCTAAAGACTATGTTTTTGTCTCATTTGTTTTGTTTCTAGTACTGAATGTTACAAGTTTTCTTGTTGTGTAAAGGCTGTTTATCAACTGAAATTTAACACTTTGCGTACAGGAGACCAGGCCAAAGCCGAATTACCACTCCTAGAAAGGAAACTGACACATGCCGAATATCATCAGGGATTGCAGAGGGTAAGATCTTTACTGGATCTCCACATATTTTCCTATTTTTCTTTTGGTTGTCACCTGCATTTGAGAAGTTGACTAATGCTTGATCCTTTAATTGCAGGAGTGACTACAGGAACTCCAATCAAAGTAGAAGTACCCAATACAGACCAGAGGGGGCATGTAAGTGGTTATCCATGTTTATCTGTGCATGAATCTTCAATATGTTAATATTGTGGTGCCTCTGCATTTCAAGGTGCTATTTATTTGTGCAGGACTACAGCGAAATGTCAAAAGCATATAGGCCATCTCATGCTGATGCAACTTATGATTTTAAGTATGGTGTGCGATCGGTACAGGTAACTGTGTTGAATTTTTCTGTGATTTGGATAAACCGAATAGCTTCATACAATATGGAAGTATCATGTATAATATTACCATTGAATCATTTCATGGCCTTTATGAAAACATAGGGTGGTGGAAGATCTTCTGCAAGAGAAACTATTGGAAGAGTTGCTGCAGGAGCTGTTGCCAAGAAAATTCTCAAGTTAAAATCTGGAACAGAGGTAGGTTTGTTCAAGTTTGATGAGTGAGTTAGGTAATTGTTTCTAATTTGTAATACCATTTTAAGGATCTCCAACATAGACTTTAAGTATCATTTTGTACCTGCATGTGCTTAGTACATCCGCCATCTGTGTTGACAAGCCTTCATTATGCCAAAATTATCTTTTCTTACCTATGTGTAGCTCAAATTAAAAAAACAAAAAAGTATTCCCGTAGATTTGCATATTCACTTTGAAAACATGACATAATAAACAAATTTTATTGATTTTATTAACTTATGTACCATTTCATTCATGCTTTGGGAAGAAGGAAGTTTTACAAGGATGAATACATATACACCCACACACATACATACATACATATATGTATATATATGTATTTATATCTTATTGAAGAGGAGTTTTCTAGGAAAGCTTGTGTACCTCTTAACAAGTTTTACCAGTTTTAATCTTTTCCTTAGTTATGGGTCCTTAAATTCAATAAGAGTAAATACGCTTTCACACCTATACTACATTTGCAGCTTACCTTGAGCTATCGAATTATTAGATGTAGAGAATTAGGTTGTCTGAGTATTTAATG